GTCTGCAGGAAAGCCAGTCCCAGGTGTTGGTCAGGGCTTCTCTCTGTGGCAAAGGATCAGTTACCATATCACTAATGTGTGTGCGGGGGGTGGCGGGGGGGAATGCCACTGACCTACTGGAGTGGTGTGTGGCATCTTCAGGCACCAGGCACTCGGGTGAAAGGGATTTTTGGACTTTTGTCTGAATGTGGGTTTCTTTGGTTAAAGATCCCAGCATGGTCTACAGTGCAGGTGTAACCCACACACCGTCTGGCTGTGGCACCGTCCCATGTAGTGGCACTTTGACCACATGAACAGAGAAAGAATGAGTGTGCTTGTGATGGGGTGGACTAGGCCTGACACCCTCCACACCCTTCCTCCCCCCGCTGCAGGCTGGAGGCCTTGCTGCACCTTGCCCCAGGGAGATGAGCAGAAAAGAGGTCCTCCAGGCGGACTAGAGTGGAGGCTTCTGTTGCAGCCAGTCAGGGCCCAGCAACCTGAAATAAAAGCAGCTGCGGGGCCAAGGGCAGGCAGTTCCTTGCTGGCGTTTGGTGCAGTCAGACCTAGGGATTGACTGGGAAGACAGTGGCACCTTGGACACGTCCAAGTATGAGCTGGACTTTAGACCTGGTTAAAGCCAGGTCCAGCGGCTGAAGACCGGCCATTAACAGACTACAACAGTTTACACAACCCGGGACAGGGTACTGGGAGGACGTGACCTGGAAACCGGGAGAGGGAGAGGGCAGTTTCTTGGGGAAGTAGCCCAGGGAGCGAGACAGGATCCCTAAGCTGGGACCCAGAGGAGAGGGTGGGTCTGAATCCCCTCCCAACAGCTACAAAAGAGAATAAGAAGAAGCCTGGTCCCAGGTGACCAACTAGGAAAGCCATCAGAGACATTGCCAGTGCAGTGGAGAAGTCACGGACGCAACCTTGGCCGCAAGGGGGGGTTCACAAGAGAGGAAGCCCCTTCACAATACTCTATAGCCTTACCTGAGAGCTAGCCAGCTTTAACTCACACTCTAGAGGCTCATGCACTAAGCTCCAGAGGTCCCAAGTTCGGTTCTGCCTGCCGCCTTTACTCCATGAAGTCACGTTATCTGCTGGTTCTAAAATGCTGCAGTTCATGGAAGTTTACCAACCTGTTGCCAGCTTGAGGACAGGCCTGAATTTCCTCCAGAGTGCATTGGCCCCAGCATGTTTCATCTTCCTCCAGGGCACCAATCAGGAAGAGAGGGTGCATCTCCCAGGTGGATCAGTTCCCTCGTGATTGCAGGGGATGGGAGGGGCATGGGTAGATCTTTGGTGGAGGTTAAAGCACAAAGCTGTCAAATCAGAAGCCCCAGCATAAGCAACATTTACAAGTTCATCAGGATGTATAATTGAAGCTGAAGCAAAACCCTGAAAGGTTACAACGCTTTTTCCTCGATTAGCCAGAACTCTGACCCTTCTGCAAAGACATTCCAGTGACTTTACAGCTGAGCAATCGCTACATCTTGGGAGCAGGGTCAGGACAGGGAGAGAAAGGGCCAATGTGAAAAGCAAAGAGATGCAATAGGCTGAAAGAATGTCAGACATCGGCTGCCCCCTTTGCAAGGACCCCCCAAAAACAACTGCATGGGCAGAAAGGATTTTTAAGCCCAGCTTGCTTTATTCATATGCTTACGGACCTCCATCGGCAAGACTTACCGTCTTTTAGCGAATATACCCCGCACCCAAATATACCCTGCGGTTTTTGCTTTTTGAGTTAAAAAAATCTTGTATACCCCACACACAAGTATAACCCGCGTGGTACACAAGGCTGTGCCGGGGTATATTTATAGTGGGGGGAGGGAGAAATTAGCCAGACACTCACCGCCCAGTTCCTGCGCAGCTGTAGGAAGGGGCATAGGGAGCGCTCATCCAGCTGTGCAAGAACCGGGCAGTGAGCGCTCCCTCTGCGCCCCGGGGGGGGGGGGGGGGGGGGAAGGAGGTGCAGGGTTTGTAAAAACGTACGGTAGGTATCCCAGTGCACATGTTAACAGCCTAATCCTGCAACCTTTACTCGGGTAAAATCCAATCGATTTTCCATTGAACTCCACAATTCCCATGAGAGTCTGATCTCGGGAAAGACTGCAGGGTTATGGTTTCTAGCATTTTAACATAGGAAAGTTTGCGTGACAAGAGAATTTAGACATGGTTTGGCTAGCCACATCCAGTCACCTTACCACAACTTGGTGCAGTGATGAGAATGGTGCACACAAGCCATCTACCTACATGGCTGGAATATAAGTTGGCCTCCTGTGTGTTGTTGATTTGATCTATGAAATCGAGCACATGAATAGGAAAAGAGGCAGAAGTAGCGTCACTAGGGACATGTAAACGGAGACTGGACCAAAGGCATTAGGGAGCCATTCTGCAGTGGTTGATGGACGGCTGAGACCCAACAGACTTTTGCATCTCTGCGCTGCCCTGCCAGCAGAAACAACCATCAGCAACCTATTCGCCTATCGACGCGAGGGGCAAGCACCTGAAACCCAGTGGTCTTTTGAAATGGAGCTAATGCACGGATAATAAACAACAATCTGCCTCACAGTATTTAGCCTCGCTCCAGCTTGGCAGCAAGCGGGGGGAATTCTGCCCCCCCCCCCCAAAGGCTGGCTGAGCCCAGGCAAAGAGACTGCACAGGCCAGGCCAGAACCCATACTTGGCTGCTAGGCAGCTCCCTCAGAAAGTCTTTCATTGGGTTGGCTTCCTTGGGCCCCGTTGCTACGCAACAGCACATGCCTTTCCAGCAAGCTTCAGCTTTTCAAAGACACAGCCCCGGCCTCCCGGGCCGCCTCCCCTGGGCTCCCGCCTCCCCATCTGTGAAATGAATCAACGAGCGCCATGCGGGCTGTCGCGCGAGGAGCGTTTTAAATCGAGCTGCGCGGTGGGACAAAGACGGGTTGAAGGAGGGCAGCCTCCCCTGCCCAGTGCCACCCAGAAGGGACCGAGAAGGGAGGGGAGAGAAGGGAGGGGAGAGAAGCCGGGGGAAGAACTCTGCCATTTGAAATAAACACATCTATGGGGGGGGGGGTGCTCAGTGCCTCTGGCTTCCCAGCTGTGTAGCTCACTCCCAGCACTACTCAACAGCTGCAGCTTAGCCTGAGGTGCCGGTTATTCCATCCTGCGCCCGCCATCTCCCATTCATTTTTGTACACACTGGCCTGCCCTAGGAGTTGGATCCTCCCGAATCAGGTCGGTAGAGGTGAGCAGCCGTGCCAGCCCACTGTCCCACTCAGAGGCTTAGTGTTAAAGGAGGTAGCAGCGACCTAGCATGCCAAGCAAAGAAGACGGATGTCCATGGGCGGTGGGTGAAGGTAGGTCTGGGGGAGGCAAGCCCCCCAGCCCTGCCCACAGCCCCACGCCTGTCCCCCAGGAGTCAAGCTGCCCCCCTAGCACCACAGGGAGGGGGGAGGGCAGTGCATGGCCCCACCCTCCCTGGTCCCAGAACATGGGGAGGGCAGGCTCTAAGGGAAGCAATACTCCACCCCCAATACACCTCCAGTAGGCGTTCTGGGGGTGGAGAATGGGCGATGCCTCCCCCACCTCTTATATCTGCTGCCACTGCTGTTATCCCAGTGCTGGCCCACCTCTGGGGTGTGGTGCACCCCTCACAAGAGCTCACACTTATTAGACAACTGACGCTCTGAAGAGACCACCCCAAAGTGTCCCACAACAGTGAGGAAGAGTCTGAACCATTTTTTTCTTCAGATCGTCACCTCAGCTAAACCCCTGGTTTTAGTGGGTCCGTTAAGGCAGGATTCACTGTGTTCAGGAGAGAAGGGCCTCCGCAGGTCAGATGCTGCCAAGAGATATTAATCCACCAGCTATAAACGTCCTCAGTCAACCCACTGTCATGGGCACAACTTGGCACCAATTCATTGGCTTGCTCCAATGTCCCCCGCTGAGAACTAAATGAGGTGTATCCCTGAGTCCATCAGCTTTGTTTTCACTCCACCGTAACAGGGATTGGGCTGCCAGGGATGGCATCTGGCCCTTAGGGTGCATGTAGCGTGTCCCATGGTGAACAGAATTCCCTTATTTCATGGAGAAGACAACAAGTTCACCTGAGGCCTCCGAAACTGCCTGTGCCCTGAATGGTACACAGACAAAAGCCAGGCGCGGGTGATGGGGGGTGGGGGGTAGAGCTCCTGTGATCAGCAAAGGCCTAGGAGTCAAGACCTCTGGGGTCATTGCCACAAAACCTGCTGTATGACTGCACTTCAGGCTACGTCTAGGCTGCAGGCTTCTTGTGCAAGAAGCTTTTTGCGGAAGAAATCTGCGAAAACGTCCTGCGCAAAGAGCGCGTCCACGCTGCAAAAGTGCATTGGAAGAGTGATGTGCTTTGGCACAAAAGAGTGTCCAGACTGCATGGACGCTCTCTCGCAAGAAAGCTCTGATTGCCATTCACAGAATGGCCACGAGGGCCCCTGTGCTTCTTCCAATAAGCTGTTTTTGCGCCAAAAAAACCCTGTTTCCCGTCCACACACACCTTTTTGCACAAGAGCTCTTGCACAAAAAGGCTTATTCCTCAGAGAAAGCGGAATACCTCCACCGCAAAAACCCCTCTGTTCTGTCAAGTCACTGTACATTTTCTTGCGCAAAAACGTGCTTGAGATGTGGACGCGCCACGAGTTTTAGCGCAAAACCTGCAGCTTGGACGTAGCCTCAATGTCCTGGTGTGTAGAATCCTTACCTGCCTCAAAAAAGTGACAGTGACAAAAAATTCACTAGCTGGTGCAAAGTACTTCAACAGGCATGGATGGGTAATGCTACCTAAGTGTAAAGTACTGTTTATTCATCCCTTCAACCTGTTGTGTCTCATGCTTAGGGGGTCCCCACAGCTTCAGTGGAAGTGGCAGATGCTCTGCCCCTCAGCAAAACATGCCCTGTGAGGTTACGGTATAATTACAGATTCTGAGCCGTCCTACCAACAGTTGGCTCACCACCAAAATTCCGGCATGCTTTGTAACGCCTTTCCTTCTCTTTCTCTGTTCCAGGGCTCAGCTCCCATTCTGGTCGTCATGGTGATCTTACTGAACATTGGCGTCGCCATTTTGTTTATTAACTTTTTCATCTAACTCGAGACTGTCTTGTTTGCAAAAATAAGAGTTACGTGTACGAACAGGGGGAAAAAAACCCAAACAAAAACAAATCCAAAAAAAGGGAAAGATCATAACTTGAACTGTCCTACGACAACTTCCGAGTTTTTCCACAGAAGAAGAACAAATGATTGAGTCTCACTCACAGTTTGCCTTTTTTTCCTGGGTAATGTTTTTTGGATTTTAGCCAAAAGTCTTTGCTTGTACAACACTATGCTGTGTGGCATGGCAGAATGCTAACAACTCTTTGACCCTCCCAGCACCAGAAAGGATGAGACAGGACCCCAGCAAAATAAGAATCAGTTACGTTTCCCCTCCAGACTAAATAAAGAAAAAAATGCAGGGGCGGGGGAGGGAGAGGTTGGGCAGATGGAACCAGGACATGGAGGGGGGTGTGGTGGTGAATGAGTCACTGGTGGAAACACACAATGCCCACTGTTGTGAAGTTGATGGCGGGAAAATCCCC